TCTTTCTTGAGCAGCAAATCAGCTTATTAGAGTGATTCCTGAAGGATCATGTGACTGGATTAAGACTGGAGTAATGGCTGTTTTGGATCACAAGAATAAATTATGTTTTAAAATATTTGAAAATAAGCACAATTATACTAAATTTGATTATAATTTACATATTAGAATTAAAAAATATATATTTTAAAAACTTACTGACCCCAAACTTTGAATCTTAGTGTATAGCAATACATATGTATTATTTTAAGTTATAAAAATAACATTATAATAGTACGAATGAACATGAATTAATAATGAACAAAGTATATTTATTAAATAACATTGAACCTGAAAAAAAATCTTTTAGTTCATGACACCTACTATAAACTGAACTTGACTGTAACATGCTACATTAAAATTTGAATTGAAGTTTTCATATTATTCAATATTTTCCTGACACAATAATAGAGATGCCCAAACTTTTGACTGGTAGTATATCATGGTACTTAATATGTCATGTAGCATGTTGTACTACAGGATACCATTGCAAAACACATGATAATACCATGGTACATATATACTATAGTACCGTACTGTAAAACATATTTATTATTTATTTTAATAATTTTTAAAATGTATTTTATTCAAATGATTGATTGATTTATTTAATGTTATTTTTTTGTTGTTATCTTATTTTTTAAATTTTTTAATACAGTTTTTCTTTCAACTTTCCCACAGATCCCCTAGCACTTCCTCACAACCCCTGTACTAATGTTTACTAAAAAACTGGATAGAAGGGAAAAAGTATTACATACATTTCTTGCTTGCCTGAGCGTCCACAGAGTAACTTGCCCTTTTTATACAGGAAGTAAAAGACACTGCCCAGGATGGCCAGCAACAGGATGCTGACAATGATCACCACAATAATCACTCCACTATTATCAGCTGGAGAGAGAGAGAACAACAGATGCCAACATTAGTATGACTGACTGATATATAATAATAACCAACGAACTAGTGCCATTTCAACAAGACACAATAAATTCATGCTGAAATGCAATAAATGGGCTTTCAGGCTAATTACAAATGCGAAATACCCTACTAGATCATGAAAAGGGCACTAAAGGACACATTACACTGCACTTTTTTAACAATGGCTGCATCATTTGTATTCAAAACATGTGCCACATGACAAGGACACAGGTCCTTATAAATGAGATGAGTTTGGTATGAAACATATAATTAGTCAAATGGAATAAGAGACTCAAATTCCTCAAAGTCAAATAAAGAAAATTAAGGAGTGCCATTCAGAGGAAGCGTCATCAAATGTTATAAATAAACAGAGAGACAAGAAGCAATTGTCTGGGAATGAATTTTATGGGTTAAATCTACTCAGTAAAACAGCAGGCCGCCACCACAATCTTCACCATAATAGTTTAACAGTCTCAGTTGCAGCCCAGCACTTCAAAACATTTGTTAAAATATTCACATTGAACTAATTATACATTCATCTTGGAAAACATTCAGCACTGGATCTGCCCCTGCTATCTGAAGTAATGTCTGCTTCAATTTTTGCTTGCTTTTTTTTCTTTTCTATGACTTCTCTTCACACAGAATTTTAAATATGCCCAGAGGCCGACATGAAGAGCCAGGCTAACCGAGCTGCTGTGGAGGCTTTGCCATATAAAATCTATGAATTATTCAAGTACATTAGATGATCTTTCGTTGTTTGTTAGGGTTGGATTTTGCAGTGATGAAATGGACTGGGTGTTGATTTAAAGCATAAGTTACCTGAGGTTTTTCTAGCTGTTGGAGTCTGGGAGAATGGAACTGGGAGAAAACAACAGACAACATTAAAAAAATTTTTCCAAACAACCAATATTATCAAAGAAATAAAACATATCCTATTCACTCTGACACCGTGCCTCATCTAAAGTTGAAAAAAAAATGACTTGGTTAAAATGCATTATAAATCTGATGATGAGATGTTTTTGAAAAGTAAAGACATTTATAACATTACAAAAGTATGTTAAAACATTAAACAGCTCAACTGGTTTTAAAGGGGTCATATCATGCGATTTAAATTTTTCCTTTCTCTTT